ACATACATACAAACATAACTGTGAAAGTACACATTTAATCAATAACGATTTATATCACAAATAATAGATTATTCATTCCAAGCGATTTAAATCTCAATTTTCCCAAAACTTAATTTCATTGCTTAACCAATTTTGTCTTTAAAAGCAAAACGACACGCACTGCTTCTGCTGGTTCAAATACATACTGTGCATATACAGTGAGCGTAAAAAGTAAGTATAACACATGAGCACAATATGTATTTTTTATATATGAAAGACGGTATGCAACACCCTCAGCGAAAAAAAATCTCAAAAATCAACGGAAATTTTCAGCGACTTTTTAACATTTTATTATACTAAAATTTAATGGGCTACAAAACTGAATGTTCAAAATTTCTTGCCTTTTCCCCGAGTTTGGTATGAAATTTAAAAAAAAAATTATTCTTGTGGTTTATGCTGAAACCAAGGTACATTGAACAGGTAGTATCAGTAGAGCAGCTGATTTGATTTATTTTCAAATTATTTGGTCTCGAAAATGTCAAATATTTTTAATTTTTTCTCATAAATATTCTGAATTGTTAAAATCCATTTGCATGTGAAACCTTTTTCCATACAAAACAAGCGCTTGAATAGCAGCTTTTGGAACGTTCGCCCAACTCGGCAGCACGACCGCTGATTACTGGCCCTTGTAAAGGATGGATCAATGCTTCGAGAAGCAAACAAATTTACTAGGAAAGAAAGTTGCAACAATTTTTATTTTTTCCAATTTCAATTTTTTATTTTTTATAATTTTTTGTATTTCACATGACACGCTTTGATTTAGAAGAAAAAATTCAGAACAGTTTTTGACACTTTCGATAGCAGAAGCAACAACAAAATACACGCAAATGTTGTTTTTGCTCTACTGATACTACCTGTTTAATGTGCCTTGGCTGAAACTAAAAAAATTTGGAACAGAAAATATAAATAAATAAAATCAGCAAAACGTTAGGGTATACTTTTTTTGACGTTCACTGTGAATGCATAAGGTGAGGAACCTATATGTATTACAAATACTCGTAAATACACTCAAATAAATTCTGTGGCACAGTTGGAAGTAAACCCGTAAACAACAAAAAACAACAAAAGAAAAAAAATTTTCTAAAATATTTAAGTAGGAGTGTATGTAAGTTAACCGCAATTTGTAATATATTCGTTGCTACGCGGTCGCGTTATTAACTACAACTGATGACGGAAAGGTGTATACTCCGATTCCAAACGGTAAAGATTTTAACCATAAACTCAATTGTAAAAATTATCATTGTGTAGATATGTATGAGTTTTTACTTGAAATCTGAATACCCAGTGGGAATTAGGAGCACGTAATAATACCTTATTAGCAACTTACTCTTCACCTGGCAGTCATTACCATTTCCCTGCCGAACGTCCCTTACTTTTGCAAAGGCATGGCCGCCTTATGTAAGTAGGAATTTAGAATGTACATTTGGTATCAGACATACTTCTGAGCCGCTTTACAAAGTAAAGGCTTGTTTTCACTATGTCAAATTCAATGACATATGTCGTCAAATAAATGAAAACACATTGTCAAATGCGATTAGAAAACGGTATATCGACTGAGTTAGATCAGGATAGGTCTTCAGTCGTATACATGAGCTGCTATACCAGCTATATGTTCGCTTTTGGCTCATAATATCATCAGCGAAGGTGCGGATGAAAGAGCTAAACTTGTGTCAAAATATGTCGACAAATTTTGATGTCAAAATATGACATAGTGAAAACCAGCCTTAAGTTACGTGTAATGCAGAGCAGTCGCTCGGAGTAGTTCGGTGCTTGGAAATAACTTCGGCTGCACGTTATTTTGCAACTGACAACGTAATATGTCTTCGGAGGTGTTCATTTTGCCCTTTACTAGTAGATGACATTGGCCATGATGACAATTTTGGTACTAAAAACTGAAAGAAAACATGGCTTACCTCGCAAGGTGCTTACCTATTTTCCCAGTGGGTAACTAACTGACTAGCTGGATAAGTGCACACATATGTATACATATGTACATACATATGTATAGTCATGTGCGAAATAATAGGGACACGACATTTTGACAAGTTTTGGCTGTTCCTTATTTTGATTGTTTAATGATTATTATTTTTTCATAAAAATGCAGACTATTTAACAAACACCATATAATTTCAAATTTGAAACTGTTGAAAAATTTTGTTGAATTTTTCTAATTTTATATTATTATTAATATATGGTTTTTCTTAGATAGTGAGTTGTATTTTTATAAAAAATAATAATAAACATTAAACAAACAAAAGAAAAATGCACGAAAATGGTTAAAATGTCGTTTCCCTATTATTTTTCACATGACTGTATGTACGGTAGGCGTCGTATTCTTTCTTGTTGATAAGTTTACTTTGAGTGCACTTATACTATGACATAATCGCACATATGTAAATATGTACATATTTAGTTAATAAAATTATGTGCAAAAAAAAACCCGATTTGTTGCTGATTGAAGCGATAAATTAGTACTCAATTGTGAATCACCCTTTACCTTCATACCTACATACATACATACATACATAAGTATGTGGTTGATAACTTCAAATCGATATCTCTAAACTTGTGAGCGAGTTTATGAATAAATTTTGTAGAATAGAAGAGTACTCAAATTGATCGGAAACATTTCGTATGCAGGTGTGTGTGCGTGTGCCTCAATCATATTTTTTTAAAGTATAATTTTAGGACTCGATATCGAATTAAAAAATTTGTTTTACCATTAACTGTAAAAAAATCGGTTAAAAATTATTTCGCTTTTGAACATCGTAAAAATTCACAATATGTATTTACAAATATATGTAGTAAGTATGTAGATAGCAAAAATTTTGCCACACATATGTATCTGGTAATTAGCAGATACATTCTTATACATAAATACTTATACATATACATAAATACATACACACTTAAGTGCACTTTTTAACTAATGTACTTCACGATTAAACGCAAGAAGCGGATGCCGTCAATTTAAAAATGTCTGGAGCAGTAATAAAACTTGTGATTATCCCATATACTTGTGAAACGCTTAGCTTAAAAAGGGTTTTACATATGTACATACATATTTCTATATATTCATATGCCTGTACACGAATCACAGCAATTTGAATATCTTAATGTGCACACTTACATATCTATGTGCATACATTTGGGTGGTCTCAAAAAAGTGAAAGTCGCTCAATTCAATGCTCTCATCCCCTGGAATTGTTCTAAACTGAAAAAATTATATCCTGTTTTTTTTCTTTTTGAAATCAAAAAATATTTAGAGGTCGCTCCAACTTCTCCATATATTTTATATGTGGAAAAAACACGTTTGCGTAGAAATGGTATAGAACTCTTAAAAATCAATATTTCCCGATCGAAAAACTTCGTTTCTCTTCAGGAGGCTTCCAATAACAATACCCAATTTGTTTTCAAATTGAAAAAACAGGGGTATGATTATTTTGCGGTATAGAACTATCCTAGGGGGTGAGAGCATTAAAATTCCGACTTTACTTTTTCCCCACATGCATTTTTGGACCACCCTAATATACATACAAATGTATAGAAATTCTCATTCATACAGTTGCACAAAAAATACTACCTATGATCGCAAACAAAAAAAATAGTTTGTGTATTACTCATTACTTTTGAATTCTAAAGTAATAAGAGTCGGTTAAAAAAAATAGCGAAATAAGTGAGTGGGAAGAGCTTGAATATATACATACTTTCTACTCTGTAAAACTTAGCCCATTTTCATCAATAATTTTTTTTTTTGTTCGTTTTTAATCTTACTTTTAGAGGGCTCATGCGTTATATGGAAGAAAATGCGTAACATACAGGACAACACACAGATTCTAAACAATTAACGGTAGATTTGAGCGACCTAAAACTTGTACTAAAATTTAATGGGCTACTTGAATGCAATTCTTTTGTTCATTCGCTTTTGTGTTTTCTATTTACTTTCATATGCTTCAACTCGATTGAGTTCAAGCTTTTGGTTTGTACCTAAAATCAACTGATTGTACCTAATGTAGATACCTTTTGTGCCTACATTTTATCCCTTCAAATCATTAGCATAAACATAAGTTGCAAAAAATACCATTTTGAATTTTGTTCCTATTACACTGGTTTACAGCAAAATTGTTCTATGGATGCCACTATGCAATTTCAATGTAGAATTGCTCGGTGATTCCGAAAATCGAGTTAATTTTTTTTTCTATGGATACGTTTCCGAGATATTTGCAATTTACCGTTATTCAGCTTAAAGCAAAAATTGGTTCTTTTTAATCGCGTATATCTAACGAACCAATTTAATATCTTAATCTTAATATAAAATACGGCAAATGAAAGCCAATGAAATTCTCCATAAACCGTATATACATCACTTTTCCATAGGGCTTATAGTTTCTGATAAATTAATTAATCATTCCAGCTTTTCTTATTTTTTAATGAAAAAATTAAAAAAATGAAACTTTAACAGAAGAAAAATATAAAAAATAACAAAACCAAATTTTTGCATTTGTACTAAAGCCTCTTCTGTTACAAAAATACGCGAATACGAAAATACGCAAAGATTTTTTTTGTATGAAAATTGAGCACGAAAGAATGTTACTCATACGCCGCGTACACCTGAATAAAACGATTTTCTGCTCATTTTTCATACAAAAAAATCTTTGCGCATTTTCATTTGACCACTCATTATTACGTATTTATCCATCGATTTCCTTCATCAGTAACTTGATTTTTAATTTTTTTTTTGTAACAGAACCGGCTTTAGTACAAACGCAAAAATTTGGCACAGAACCTATTATTTTTTAAAATTTTCTTCTGTTAAATTTTAATATTTTTTCATAAAAAAATAAAAAAGTTGGAATGATTAATTAATTTGTCAGAAACTATAAGCCCTATCGGAAAGTGATGTATATACGGTTTATGGAGAATTTCATTGGCTTTCAATTGCCGTATTTTATATTAAGATTTTTAAATTGGTTCGTAAGATATATGTACGTGATTAAAGAGAACCAATTTTTGCTTTAAGCTGAATAACGGTAAATTGCAAATTTCTCGAAATTCGTGATCCAGTGTTATTAAACGTTCAAACAGTGGCGGATCCAGCGGGTTATATAACATACTGTTATAACAACGAACAGAGAAAGTTCATTAACATTTTTTTTTTGTTTTTAATTCTCTGTTCATTAACATTAACATTCCTCAACATTCTCTGCGAAAACGAATAGCATTGCTGTAAATATTAGCATTGCTGTACAAATAAGCTTTCAGCCATCTACTTTCGCTCATACATATATCCCATAGGTAAAAGCTTTCCTTTTGCACTTTTAACTAAACAGCAACTAGGTCAACATTGCATAATCTAGGTAGGGTTATTTACTATGGATATATGAATGAATGTACCATATACATAAATACAAATGAATGAACTATAAATGTATGTAAATACACACATATGTATGTACATAGGAGTGCTTTTGTAATGTATTTGTACAACGTTCCATTAACAGCAGTTTTTTTTTATATAGTACGTATGTATATGTGTGTGTATGTCCAATAAACAAATATTGTAAGTACACAGTTAACTCCCGCAAATTTACATTTACACATATAGTATGTACTACCAGTGTTGCCAGTTTAGACGTTTCCGACTAGATTTAGCCATTTTCCGACTAGATTTAGCCGGTTGCGTTAGCAAACAACCGGAGAAAATTCGGATTAGCCGGCAGCCGATTTGTTAGCCAGTTTGGCAAAAAAAAAAAAAAAATTTGCCGTTTTTAGCCGATTTTGCTATTTGCTCTATTTTCTTAAAATTTAAATATATAACTTTTCATTTTTAAAAAATTTAGCAACCCAAAATCTACTAGAAATGGCTAGCTCGGAGAAAATTTGCATGTCGAAGTGTGTTACATATACGATTTCAATGATTTTTATTTTAAGCTAAACGGGGACGCGACATTTTAGCAAGTTTTGCTTATTTTTCTTTAGTTTATTTAATGCTTATTATTTTTTTTATGAAAGCATATCTGATTACTTAACAAATACCATTTAAATCCGAAATGTGCATTTCGTCTGGAAATTTTCACTAAAATGTTTAATCTTTTAATCAGCAACTTTAGAAATTTTAAATTTTGCTACAAGAAAGTACCTAGCACTCTGCGCAGATTTTT